TGGATTCACAAGATCCTGTCTTAATCACTAAATGGTCGCCCATTCCTGAAATTCGTGAAAGGGCAATACGTTTGTGCTGGAGTGTTCCGCTGTTCATCATTTTTAACAAGTTATATCCGTTAGATGTAAGTGTTGTTAGTTTTCATATAGTTATTTGTTTTCGTATTGAAGTATATATATTATCTCTATTCTGCTTTTTCCAGCATCAGTGCGGTTAGAAATGGATGGATGTTAATATAGTTCTGTTCAGGGTCTTCGCTCTGATGCAGTCTGGGACATGATTTTCCCTTATCGAATTCTCTACGCTGCAGCAGTGTTTGTCGTATTTCGAACTCGCGTGTACAGGCGTGTTTTCTAGGGATTCGTGTCGCATTCTTTATATATCTTCATTCAATTTTAGCGCATGGGCGGTAGCAGAAAGTATGTGCGTTACCCTTGGACTCGGCATCTACCCCGCTGAGTCAAATCCACGCACTGTGGTTGGTCCTACCGATTTGGAAAAGTATAAGTGAGTTATCACTTCTACGTGCAGCACGCACTTTTCTAGTAGTTCATTTCAGGGCGTTGAAAGGTAGATCAGACATTACGTACAACTCCGAAGCCATTGTTAATCTGAACATACCCGAGGTAAATAATTCAATTTCTAAACTGTTTCTTTCCGATGGACATGCATTCAGTCCCGAATATTTTTCTAATATTTTCGAAAATTTCATTGTAATCTATTCTCTATAGTTCGGTCAAAGAAGAGCGGAGTAAGCGCTTAAATTCACATTAATACGCAAATCTTCTAGATTGAGATGAGTGATGGGTTCCGAAGCGGCATACGGTCATGGAACAAATCAGTCCAAAGTTGGCTAGCTCTGTATGTTTACTCGAGAGCAAATCGGGTTTACAGGTAGTCATTATGTAGACATGAAGTACAATTGACACTAACTTAGTTGACCTTTTAGAGCCGAACTCACAATGTTTGTATCAGCTCTGTGGCATGGAACCTATGCCGGTTATTTTATGTGAGTCGTCATTTTTGAAACATTTTTCTCCCCTGCTTTTCGCTCTGGTGGCGGCGAATTTATGAATTCTTTGCCTTTCAGGTCATTTCTCATCGTACCCATGTGCTGCTCCGTAGAAGACATCATTTTCAAGTATATACCAGAAGATCCTGTGACTAAGAAAAGGCCAGCTTGGTTTAGATATCTGTAAGTGTATTGCAATCCTTTATTTTCCTCACTTTCGAGTTTCTCACTTCTCATAACTTTTTCTAGTTATCTCTTCACTTTGCGATGTCGCGGTTTCGACATGTTAGCTACCGGCTTTTTGCTCAAAA